GCATCCTTATAGGCTCAGCAGTGCTACGCTGGCTAGCACTACAGAAGAAAGGGACTTGGGGGTCGTCATTGACCACAAGATGAACATGAGCCATCAGTGTGATGCTGTGGCTAGTAAAGCAACCAAAATGCTGGCTTGCATCCATAGATGCTTCTCAAGCAAATCACAGGACCCCTTGTACTCGGCCTTGGTGAGGCCACAGCTGGAGTACAAGTTTTGGGCTCCACAATTCAAAAAGGACATGGAGAAGCTTGAGAGAGTGCAGAGAAAAGCCACGTGCGTGATCAGGTCAGGAAAACAGACCTTACGACGACAGACTGAGAGCCTGGAAAAGTGCAGGCTCAGGGGCGATCTGATGGCCACCTATAAGTTTACCGGGGTGACCACCAGTATCTGGGGGAACGTTTATTCACCAGAGCACCCCAAGGGATGACGAGGTCAAATGGTTATAAACTGCTGCAAGACTATTTCAGGCTGGACATAAGGAATAATTTCTTTACTGTCCAAGCCCCCAAGGTCTGGAACAGCCTGCCATCGGAGGTGGTTCAAGCACCTACATTGAACACCTTCAAGAGCAAATTGGATGCTTATCTTGCTGGGATCCTATGAGCCCAGCTGACTTCCTGCCCTTTGGGCGGGGGGCTGGACTCGATGATCTTCTGAGGTCCCTTCCAGCCCTAATGTCTATGAAATCTATGAAATAGCTCCTTGCTTTGAGGAAGGAAGGAAAACATACAGCTTCATTCCAATGGTGTAACTGTCTTTTATAGCCCATGATTTTTAGTCTAGGAGCCTCATTCATGTGTGATAGGTGATAGAGGCATGCAAAGGAGTTCTTGAATTGGCAAACCAGGCTGCACTGTGGGTTTGCATTATTTCAGTGATGTGCATAAAAACTCAGGAGTACGCAGCCTTGGGCTCCTCCATTCTTTTTTTATAACACTATCTGAATTCAGGCCCTTAATATTTGGCCTATAGCCAGGCTGCCCTGTCCTCTGTCCCTTACCCTATCCAAGATTCACCTGGCTTGGCTGGGCTACTACTTGCATACAACACCACCTCACTGGCAGTGAAACTAGTGATTCCAGAGCTGGCTGTCTTTGGAACTGATACTTCAATCAAAGCTGAAGTATAATGTTAAGTGTAAGCTCATTGATATTTTCTAGTGGGTGGGACTGAAGTACTGTGATTATTAGACTTCTGGGGGCATTTTAGGCAAGAAAGGAAAGAAACTTCATTTTGGTGCCCAACTGACTTCTAGCTGGAGCAATCAGGTTTCGCTTAGGCTTCTCCAAGACTTTAAAGTGGGTGTGGGATTTGCTGTTTCCTGTCTTATGCCATTCTGTAACATTACTATGTGCTTCCCTGAAAGGTGACTGTTTCAGGGGCATGTGAAATAGCCAATATATCTCCTCCCCATCTACTTGACAAGTATACCAGGAGAGTTAAAGTGTGTAAACAATCTGAGGTTCCCAGTCAAAATCTTTGCTTTTTATCATTGTACACACACTCTTATCTTAAAAGGCATACATAGCTCTTGGGTTTTCTGTTCTTAAAACCAATTCCTGTTGGGATGTTTCTTTCATGATACTATTACTGGGTTTGCTCCTACCAGGTGAGGTGCACCCAGACCCCCATTCAAGTCAACTGAACTAGAAAGCATGCAGCCCCTCTCAGGATTGGATGCATTAAGTTATAATAATTCCCCACAAAGAGGAAATTAAATGATGAAGGGAGAGGAGGAGCTATACAAAAAAAAGGAACTACTGAGTAAAATGTAAGAGTTGTTAACTGTTAACAGCATGGAATAAAGCAGTGGGGGCCAACCTTTGACAGGAGTGCCACAAATTAGCCCCACACCATCCCAAAGTGCCAGTCTCGCTTTCCCCTGCCTGACCTGCTGTTCTTTCCGCTTCCTACCTGATCTGCTGCTCTGCTGTCTGCTCCATGCTCTGCTTACCACTATGCTGTCTGCCCCTCTCAGATCCGGTGTATGCCCTGTGCTGCCAAGCTGCAGTATTGCTAAACAGAAGGCCCAAAGCCTGTTTCTGAGTGACCATAGCATGAACCTTTGGAGATGTGACAACTAACTTAGCAATGAAAGGAAGCCATCAAACAAACACAATTAAACAAGGCACAAATCCTGAAAGGCTATAAGGGAGGCCCACACATTAAGTAATCCAAATACAGTATATCATAGCTTTATCTTAAAACAGAAGTACAGAATGATGTAACTAAATGTATCAGATGTTACTTTGCTATAATAGATATATTTTTAACATAATGATGTTTAGATAATCTGTAAAAAAAACAAACAAACAAACAAAAAACAAACAAACAAAAACCAAAAAAAAAAGCAGCCGTGTCAGAGAAGACCATAAACTAAGGTAAACAAACAAATAAACAAAAACAGGCCAGCATTGAGCAACACTCCACAATGGGGAAGGAAAGGAGATAAGAAACCCTCCTTCTTTCTTTCTCTAAGATATAAATCCTGACACCTTCTAAGTCCACAAGAGATCTAGAGGTTCAGTTCTGTTCCAAAAGTTTCAGTGAAGCAAAGAAACTTAAATAAAAACCAATCCGAGATCATTTGTTAGAATTGGCCAACTATAAATATTGGGCATAGGCTAGAAGGAAACTTGCAGAACTCAGCAAACTTGAGACCAGCTGCCAATCTGTGCCACCCTTCTCCCACCCCTCCAGTCTCCCCAGCTGATATAGGTGAGATCTGTATTGTGCTGTTGCAGGTAGCAAGATAGATTTCAGATAAATGTTTGTTTTCATGTTTTAAAGTGGAAGCAAATAAAAGGTTGGCCTGTAGACCTGTTTCTGCATCTTTAAACAGTAATATACCCACAAGGGTACCTGTAATCTGGGTAACACCTGTTCCACTTGTGGTATGCATGCTACAGGTTGGTCACCCCTAGAGTAAAAGAACATGAAACATGTTAACGGAAGGAAGTAACAGAACCAAAAAGGTGAATACTAAAAGAAGGTCCTAGCGAGAAGGGGGGGTTGAGGGAATATAAAACAAAAGAAACCAAAAGAAAAAAAGTAAGGTGCTTTTTATTATTTTGTGTATTTGATAACATTTGCTGTCCAAGGTTACTTTAGTACACAGGTAAACCAACTGAAGTATCTCATCCAGGGCAGGAGGCTGTTATACATGGCATTGCATGCATATGATAGCCTATACACTGCTTTCTCAAGTCCCGGTTACTGTGCATAGCTTCTTCCAAATGAGCTACTCCACCTTAGGTACTCAATTGCCTTTCACCATCTTGCAGAGTCAGCTGATAGTGCACCTATGATCTTATCTTGTCCCTTCTTTGTCCAACATTCCCTCCATTTAATCTTCTGCTCCCCTTCTGTGCAGACCAATCTTCCAGCTCACCCTTTCCTTTGCATCTTTCATGAAATCTGCAAATCGGGACCCTGGCTGTCAAACCATCTGCACTACCTTCAATGCACTTTTTAGGGCTGGGGGGAACTATAAAGCAAAAATTTCTCAAGTATTACTTTCCAGTAGGTTTTCTGCTGTACCTGTCTTCATACTGCAAGCTCTGCGTGGCAGGGTCAAACACACCTGTAACTATTAACCAAGTGACTTCCCACTTTCTGTATAGGATGATATAGATTTACACAGACAAACATGTAAAAGCACTCACTCTACCCATGTCTAGCTCCATGACAGCTTTTCTGCCCCCAGTCCTTTCCCATTTAGTTTTACTGCTCACCACAAAGTTCTCTTATTCCTACTGAGGTACCTAAAATCAAGATCTCTTCTCATATGTGTTATTAAAGTAACTAAAGGGAACTTGTTCACTGACCACTGCCTGAGGCAAGCATAGAGTGATTTATATCAGGGGTGTTCAACCCCCTCTGACCACAGGATGATGTCATCCCCCTGGGCCCAAGAAGCTGGCAGTAGAGGGGAGTGGTAGCAACTAACTGCAGCTCAATGTGCATTTCCAATTGCCAACAAAATCAAGGCCTGCCATCTTCTGTATTTCGCAGTAGCTTTGCAGTACTTTTAAATGGGAACGCAGGATAAAAATCAAACTGCTTTCCATTTCTAACACAAGATTGCCTGTCCTTGTTGGACTCCCTTTATTAACCATCCAGAGACAATTCTACTGAGATATTGAATGGAAAGCACCATCTCAGTTCTCTGATAGCTGAACTGTACAGAGCACCTTATCTAAACATTACTCAAGGGGAGATCTGTTAACATGTAACAAATGAATGAGTCATTATGGCACAGGTAAGATTTGAATAGATTTATAAGTCTTTAATGAGGATGAACATGAAACTCTCTTAGGCAATCTCTTCAATCCATGCCTTCCAGAACAGTATTCCAAACCCCATGTTTTTGCAAGTTCAGCTTTGATATGTAAATAACATTGTACTATTTCCCTTAACAGGACTGTGTAGTGATTGACAACATGCAATTCCCCATCCCACAGATGATCAGTTAAGCTGGGGAAGAAGGGAGTGTGTCCTGAAAGCTCATGTAAAATTTTCTGTTCTAGATACAAATCCCTTTGTTTTGGGTTTAAGCTAGATTCTACCATTCTCACATGTGTCCTCAGGACTTGCTCAGCAGTACTGACAATCTGACGCATACTCTCTGAAGGCAAACTCAAGCCACCCATCTTTTTTATGCATAACAGAGAACCGCAGTTTAGGATTTCATGATCCAACTCAAAAAGAGAAGCAAAGCAAGCTTCGCATTTTTTAAGAGCGGCTAACTTCTCAGCGACAAAGCCAGCAGTGCCAGTGATGCTTTCTTCATACAGCGACAGATCTATCAACACATTGCTCAGTGGGGAATACAAGGAAACAAGGCCAGCAGAGTACATGTAATCCATTGATGTACTCTCTGTCCCACCCAGATTCAATTGAGAAAATGTCTTGTGAAGTGTTAAGTTTTTCCTGCGAAGAAGAGAAGCATCTAAAGTGCTTGTATCACCTACTAAGTTATTCTCCTGGGATCCTCGCATCAAACTATCACTGGTCAGCAGCTGACAATAAGCAGCCTGGAACATGGTGCATGTAGGATTATTGCTACCTGCACATGCTTGCTTGAGAGTCCCAAGGAACTGTTCCAGGTGGTCTAGGCTGAATGCATGAGTTAGGAGGTAGCAGAATGCTGTGCTCTCTGGCAATATGTAGTTGACATAAAGCCATTTTAAGCTTTCAGCATTAAGCAGGAAGCCCAGAAATCCTAATTTCCGTTTGCTTTTCAGAACACATCTCCCTGTAGCATCAGTTAATGTGACAAAGATGCTCTTGGCCTCAGTTAAGAGGCAATTGATCTTGGCATAATTTTTGGGTGACAAAGGCCCTTTCAATCCTTTCCCATAAGGGCTTCTGACATGAAAAATGTCAGAGAGACTGCTCACCAAGCGCACAAGTCTGATGGTACCTTTACAATTCTGAAATGAAGACAGGCCAGACAGCTGGAGCCACTGCAGTGCGCTCGCAACACCATCACTGAACAGCTGTGCAGCATAGTTCACTTTCAAGTAACAGCTCTCCCTGTTTGTGAGTGAGCCCAACAAGCAGCTGCTGCTGGTGCGTAATAATCTCTTCTCCTGCAGAGCCGCTAGGTCCACTATATGCTGCCAGTGGGCTGTTTCACAGGTGTGCTCTATCCTGTGAAAGCACTGAAATGCATTCCTTATTAGCTGCAGCAGGTGGCAAGTGTCAAAGAAGTAGGCGATCTGATGAGTGGAGCTGTGAGGGTGCTGAAAAGTGCACTGCATATTGTCAACATCCATGCGCACACCCAGTGCCTTTGCTGTCTCCATGCCATGAGCACTGGCAGCAGAAGTCACAGAGAGAACCACAATACCGATATTGCTCAGCTTGTTGATAGCCTGATGCAGCAGTTGAGCTAGCATATGGCCAGTGGCTCCATTTACAAAGAAATAACCCAAAGGAGCTGTCCAGCGACCAAGAACCCCTACTGCCATTAAGACTATAGCTTCAGAGGCCTGCGGTGCTTCATCAGCATCTAGTACTCCTACCCCCAGATCCATAAACCCAGTCAAATGTTGAATCCTGGGGTCCCAATCCAACTGTTTCCTAAGAGCCAAACCATCTACTAGCAGGGAACAGTATTGATAGGCCTGTTCACCCTTCTCCACTTTTTGCTGCAGGCAAGAAAAGATGCTATTGCTGAAGCCTGGATTAGCATCATCACTAGACAACCAACTGGAAGAGAAAAGGAGGAAATAATTAGGAGTGATACTTTAAAGGAGATAGAGACAATAGGTTTTATGACTTGGTAAAGTGTTAAACAGAACAGATATTCAATGCAAATTAATACTCAGAAACTGCATATAAGGCACTGAAACCCAACAGAATGAGATGTTCAGCTACTGTCCTGAAGACCAGTTTTCATACTTTGCTGTTCCTGCCTGAAACCCTGGCCAGTCCTTTCTTCACAATACTCTCTTTACTATTTTCAGGGCTTGTCTACACACTAACTGCGAGGCAGCTTACTCCACTTTGCAAGTGTACTATGTGTCCCTGCACTGAGTTAGCACAGAGTATCTAGCACGCTATAAATTCATGCGCTATTATTGCACTTAACTTCTCCCTCTAAACAAGCCCTGTTTCATGCATTTGCAGTCTAGCTCTTTCTTACTTTTTGGAAACCTAGAAACCTAGTACGGTAGCGAGAATGAAGACTCACGTTGTTAAACTGGAAGGATGAGGCAAGGGAAAAATCTTTCTTAGATAATCGTAGGCTTTACTGCTGTAGATGTGGAGTGTGCAGGCGAACTGCCGCATTTCTGCGGAGTATTTTGCCATCTGTCTCCAGCCAGGCAATCCCCATGGCAAATCTGTTTTTAGAAATAAAAAGCACCTTGGTAAGAGGCATGAAGAGTAGATTGGAAGAAAAGCACAACTGCACTGGCATGAGATGTGGGATAAGAATGAGCTGTGATTGACAAGACACAGCTCTAAATCCTAATGGCACCATTTATTTGAGTACATTTGTTGTGAAAAAGCAACATTCAGGTTTGCTAATGCATTCTCTCTCCCTGCAAGGAGGACACAACCCAAGAAATGTCTGCACCTGTGATATCCTTGTCAGTTGGACTGTCCTCTTCTGTGGGTAGCCAATGACTGCTGTCTTGACTTGTTTCCTTTTCAGACTTTGCACTCCTTGGCATGCTGCCTGTCTCTCTGTATGTGCACAGTATGGAGCACATGCTTGGTTCTACCCCTCAAGTTGCTGGAGAGAGCTGTTGAGATGCTCCTGCCTTTGGGATCTACAGATGCAAAGTGCTTATAAAACTAATTGGGGTTTGTGGTCCAAGTGAGCCCCTCAATTCACTGTGACCACAACAGGAGTCAAAGGATCTCAGTACCTTGCATGATCAGGCTAACAGCATAATGCCATAGCAGGTCATTTGAAAAATTCTAATGGGCCCTTCTCATGCCATATAATTCAAAAACAGCTGCTCACCCCAGGTGCAGAAAGAGCAATCAGAACCTGAAACACAGAGACTGTGGGACCCCGGGCCATGGTTGACAGGCCTGATGGGGAAGTGATTAGTCAGATGAGCTGGGGTGAAGGGGAGCATGGTTACAGGTTTTATAAGGCATCCTTGTTGAGGCCTCAGTCTGGCTTTGACCAGCCAAGGGGGGGAGGAGCTCCAGACCACAGAGGCCAAAGGAAGCTCAGCAATGCCCAGCACTGAAGTCATTTATGTTATAAGTTTACTCTTTACTACTGTGTAAGGCTGGAGGACCAAAAGCAGCTCTGAGGGGGTTTTGAAGCCACAGGGAGTGCCTGGGGAGTCTCTGCTATTGTGTGGGGAGTGGAGATGGGGTCAGACTGCAAATTAGGGACCAGGGCCTGCAGTCCACAGGACTGGGTAGGCTGGCCCAGAGACCAGGAGGGCAGAGAGTGAGAGAGAACCTGAAGCTCAAAGGACTATATAGGTGGGCCCAGGAAAGCCCTTGGGTCATAGGAAGAGGACTTGAATCCTACAAGGCTGAGGAAGGCCTGAACTTAACCCAGGCAAATGCAAAAGACAAGGGAAAGACCAATCGTTTGGTGATCAGAGTGGAACAGACTCCCAATGTCTAAGTGGTTTCTGGGACTCATGGTCCAGGTGAGTCCATCAATTCACCATAACTGCAACAGGCGTCAAAGGAGGTCAGCACCCTGCAGGATCAGGCTGACAGCAAGTTACCTGAGCAACTGATTTAAGAGATCTACAAAAAAAGGAAAGACTTTCTCCAAAGCCTCTGCTTATGGCAGTTGTTCACAGATTAGCAGAACCAAGGTGCCCCAATGGGGTCCAGTTCTGACTGGGTTATACACTGGGTAAAAATGTATCCTGATGCAGTCCCTTTCCTGAAAAGCCTATACGGAAACCCTTCATAGTACCTGAAAATTGTGCTTTCAGCAAATTTGCAGCTTCTTCAGACAGCAGCTGCTTCTCTGCCAGCTCATTGATGACATTGATTACATTTCCTTTTTGGTGTGGGAGGCCCCTTTGTGTTGCAAGGCATTTTCTTGTGGGTGACTGTAATATTTCTTTTGTCTCTGTCTGTTGCTCAGCAGCTGTCACACCCTTTAAACTGTAGTTGTGGTCTTCGGTAATGGCCTCCTTATCAGGGATATGGGTTAACAGTGGCTGCTTTAATGCTTTCTTAGATGTTCTGTTTCTAGGGCGTGTACTCGGAGATTCCTGAAGGAAAAAAGAAAAAAAGGATCTAGAGGCTACTACAGAGGTAAAATAATCCAAACAGGCACATAGTTACAGTTAACTAACAATGCACCCCAAGTTTTTGGTCTTGTAACTAATCTTTGATTAACTGGATCTCTCTCCAATGTATGGGGAACACTGGATAGTGTACAAGGTATTCTGCCATAAGAAGGGTATTATTATTTTGAAGAAAACACAACATAGGACAAAAGATGCTCTCAGGTCTCTAGAATCTAAATTACACAGAAAGACAGAGTAATGGTCTCACCGTCGTTGTTATAAAAAGAACCTTGCCAAATGAAAAGCAAAGCTATGGTAGGCAGTGGAAAACTGTTCAAATGTGAGAAGAAATAAGAAGCTTGGAGACATTATCTGAAATTTGGGCAGGGGGGGAAGATGTATTTAGGAAAAATAAAGGTAAAATAAAGTCTATAATATAAAAATAGGTGTGACAGATGAGCAGAAAGATGCAATCAGATACATTTAAAAGACCAGCTTTGGTAGCCTTACAGTCTCATGAAAACAGCAGTTAACATTTAAATTTAGTGATAAAATAGTGTCAGTTTGTAAGCTGGTTATAGTCAGTCAATAACTAATTAACAGAAATACAGGTGCACCCCTGGGGTGCATCTGGCATGAATTGGAGAAAGAGAGCTATTATTCATCAGCTCATATTATAACAATTGGATAAAACAGTGCATCATACAACACTTTTGGCAAATAAGGTCTTCACGCTGAGGACTTCACACCTCCCAACACTGTTGTGAGGTGCTTTTTTAAAATTCTACATAGCAAACAAATTTGGGCATTCATTTTTGGAAAGAAATGCAACCTCCCCCTCCATATTTTTTCCTAATTTTGGTTTATTTTTCAAATTGTCTGACAGGAAACCACCTACAGAGATTTAAATTTGTGCTGCTGTGGCTTTACCCGAGTTGCAAAACATTTGTTGTCATTTTATCTTTTATTTTTAAAGTTTTTATGCATTTTCAAGCACGGCAATTTTCTTAAAAATTCTTTTCAGCTACCTTGTATTGAAAAAGAGAAGGCACAGTTCCTTTCCGTAATTTTCTTCTCATGCCATATGATTCAAAGTCTGTTTCTGTAAAATGTTTGGAACACAAGATGGCTCCAGGCCCTGGAATCCAAACCTTTTTGCTTTTAGGGTCTGCTCGATTAACAGCATGGATCCATTTATTACGCTGTATGGCATCAATGGGAAACCTGCAACAAAAGTAGCAGAGCTGTCTTATAACTGCACCTCCATCAGAGCCAAATTCTGCCCCTACATTGGTATAAAACCCATATGACTCCACTGAGTCCAAGATAGCCTTCTAAATGTACAAAGGTGTGTGAAACAGAAAGAGTCCTTCATATACCAACATTTGGGTTTTGGCAAGTTACAACTTGACTGTCCTAAAGGCCCTTAACTAGGGAACAGGTCAGAGTATTCCTAATATCACTTTCACTCTGAAAAATTGAGGTTTGGCATACTGAAATGGCACTGGATTGGTCTCTAACAAAAAGTAATTTTGTTGGAGAAAGATAAAGATAAAATCTGCTGAAATATTGTGTAGCCTTTTTTGATTGAAGAGTCCTTTCCTCCCTGTCTGCAAAATCCATTATTTTCTGGGTAATATCTTCTACTGGGCCAACAGCATGGTTGAGATAAAGTAAGGGTGGTATTAGAAATTCAGCTCAACACTTACTGAGGCCAGTTAAAGCACAGGAAAATGCAGATTCAAGCAGGTTAGTACCTGAGGGCTCCTATACACATGAAGGGAGCAGACTCAATTGAATCTGCTAGAACATGCTAATTACCATGCTCCAGCAGACTCCAGCATCACGTGCATCAGCGTCCCCGCACTGAAAAACGGCAACAGAGTGCTTTGAACTAAAGCTCAACCGAGCGAGCTTTAGTTTAAAGTGCCCTGCCACCATTTTTTTCAGAGCAGGGATGCTGAGACATGAGATGCTCCAGGCACTTCCAATCAGCCCAGCTCTTGGAGCTGTCCTAATTAAAGCGCTGCCCCTCCCCATCTATAAATACCCTAAGTGCCTTCACAGTCTTGCAGAATTGCTCCCTTTTGGGTGAGGGTTATGGTGCTAACTTCAGTATGGACTGACTTTAATCCCCAATGATTTGCAATCTTTGCCAGTGAATATGTGACTACTTATGCAAGCTTTTCAAGCAACACATTCAAGGACCTAAAGAAGGTCTTGCATTGGAAAGCTTGCCTATGTCTCCCTCCTGCAGCTGGTCTAATAAGAGATCTCACCCACAACAAGCCTTGCCTCTTGAGCTTTGAAATTTCTCAGAATAAAACTAGCACACTGTTAAGTCTAAAACTAACCAAAGGAAGTTCATTTTCATGCAGCGTGTCAGCCAAGCATGGAACTCCCAGCCACCAGATGTTGTGGAAGCTGCCTGTTTAGCCAGATTCAAAACATGGAAAAGACATATTCTTGGAGGGAAGGGGCATCAGTAGCTATTGAGTACGGGAAACAGGGGCATAGCCTCTGAATCAGAATTTCCTAGAATGTAAATGCTGGAGTCTGCAAGTGAGAGAGGAACAGTGGGAAACCACCGGTCATGTTCAAGTCACACTCTCTTTCAGCATCTGCTCTCTGCCATTGGGACACAGGGCCAGATAGTCTGACCTAGGTGCATCTGGCCCCATGAACATGTGCCCCTGGAGGCTGGCTGGGTACAGCAACTGCTCACAGGTAGCAGCAAGCAGGGAGCTCCCACAGATGGCCACGTCGGTGTTGACAGCAGGAGTGGGAGTGGGGGAAGGGGTAAATACCAACCAGCATTTGGCAACTATCTGCAGAGGTTGCTAGCAGCATCAGCAGTGGCCAGCAACAATCAGCAACCACCCGCAGACACCACCAGCAGTGTTGACGGCAGGGGGAGGAGGCGGCGGTGGTGAGTAGCCACTGCCTACAGGTGCCACCAGCAGTGCTTTTCTCTGGGGGTGCACCTGTGTGTACCCCTACACGTCACCAATGTCTAGCCCAGTTCTGTATGATCTTACACACATACATGTGTATACATATATATGTGTACATCTATATATACATGTGTGCAGGCACACGCACATGTACACACACATATGGATATATCTGTATGCATACATCCATACATACGTACACATATACAGCTGTGTGTGCGCATGTATGTACATAGATAGGACCTGTGCAGAGGCCATATCAAGGCAGTAGGCGCCCGTTCCATGCAGCGGGGCTCAGCGCGGGCTCCCGGGCGCTTCCGGGTCCCCTCAAATCCCGAGCTCTCGGAGTCACGCGACCCGCTGACGGGACAGGACCGCACCGCGCCGCACTCACTGGTGGAAGGAGATGCCCCGCTCCCGGCTCCACCCGTTGTCCCGCGCACTGCAGCCCAGAGCGGAGCAGCTGCGAGTCATGACCCACGGGCGCCGGCGCCACACGCTGACTCCCGCAGCAGCGCCACCTTTGCTCATAGAAGCCAATCATCTGATTGGCTAATGCCGCTCCTGTGTCGCTTCTCATTGGCTCTCTCTTCCTTTACGTCTTGCCATGAAACGGAACTTTTCATTAGCTGCGGATTCCACCCCACCTTCACGTGGCGAAGCGGAAGAAGGAAGTGGGGTGGGGAGGGGGAAATGAAGGAGGGGCCTTGAAGCCAATCAACTGCGGCGGAAGCGGAGGGGTCAGCCAATGAGTAGCAGGAACGCGCGGAGCCAATGGGACCGGGGCTCTGTCCGGCTATATATTCGGGGGCGCAGTGGTCTAATTTCTCTGCTGGGGTGGGGATGGTTAGGTTGGGTGGGGGAAGGGAAGGAAAGGATTTGGTGTGTACAGCTTATGCTGCTTTGGGGTGGCCGTGGTGCTTAGGGTTGGGCGGTTGCGGCGGGAGGGGGGCTCCTCGCTGTCGTACTGCTTTCCCTTGATTTATTTCCCTCCCCCAGGGTGTGTTGGAGCCTGCTGACCGCCTGCTCTCCTGCAGGGGAGGGCGTCTGGCTAAGTCCAAGGTCTGGCGCTGGCCTCGGGCTGCAGACCCTGTGGAGATGTCGTTCCCGTAGGCTGGGGAGAAGGCCCTGCTGAGAGATGCCCAGAAAGGGATCTGGTAGCATAGCCCGGGCTGGTGCAGGTGGGAGTACTGTAGTAACTTGCTGTGGGGTACCCCATGCACCCTGCTGTGCTGGCACCTGGGGAAAGGGGTGAGTTGGGAGCTGTGTAAAGTTGCTTGGTCCTTATGGTGGCTCTTGTGCTGCCTGCAGCATGTTCTTGCTTGCTAGTGTATGTGTGCAAGTGTTGTGACTTACCCCTAATATCTCACTGCCCAGTATACTCTCTGACCTTAAGGCTGCATGCTTGCCTCTGAATAGTAGCTGCTATGGCAGAAATCCTTTCTGTTTCTGTCCTGAATATATCCTTGTCTGAAGCCTGAGTCCTTCCTGGCTGCCTTAGCTCTGAGCATGCTCTTAAATGAGCATTATGGCTCCGCTTCAGGAAATGGCTGAATACAAGGTGAGAGAGAAGCTTTTGTCCAAGATGTTCAAAATATTGACTGTTACTGCCTAGTGCAGTATCCCAATTGAACCAGAGCAGCATTACCCAAAGCTTGTCTGTGGAGTACATATCTTTTTACCCTCCAGTTCTCCAACTGAATTGTGTGGTTTAAATGGCATGCGCATTTAAGCTATATGCTGTTTTTGCCTGGGGTCTTGTTGCTTCCCTTTTCCCCCCCCCCCCCCTCCCCCCCCCCC